CAGCTCAATGCCAATTCAGGAACCAAGTAATACTAGAGGGATGGGAGGTGGATGAAATTCGACAGATGCAACTGGAAGACCAATCCATGGGTATGCTTCTGTTAGCCTTGACAGATGATTCTGAAAGACCAAAATGGGATATCATATCACACAATTCTGAAGCATTCAAAACCTTATGGAGACAATGGGATAGACTGAAAGTCATCAATGGTCTGTTATACAGAGAGTTCCAAGAGGGGGATACAAACAAGGTCATATTACAATTGGTTGTACCAAAACAGAAGAGGTCAGAGGTTATTCATTACTTTCATGATGTCCCCACAGGAGGTCACCTTGGTGCTGAGAAGACCACATCACGTATCAAAAATTCATTTTATTGGCCATCAATGTCAAAAGAAATTGCTAGATATTGTAAAAGATGTGATTACTGTGCTGCTCGTAAATCCAGTCAAAAGCAGAACAGAGCACCACTAGGGCAGTACACAGTTGGAGAGCCAATGGAAAGAATAGCTCTAGACATTCTGGGACCCTTTCCTGAGTCTACAAAAGGTAACAGATACATACTGGTTATGATTGATTGCTTCACGAAATGGACCGAGGCTACAGCTATCCCGGATCAAGAAGCTGAGACTGTCATAACAACATTTGTCAATGAAGTAGTCTGTCGTTTTGGTACACCTTTACAAGTCCACTCAGATCAGGGAAGAAACTTCGAGTCAAAAGCCTTTAAAGAGATGTGTGAACTCCTCCATATTGACAAAACTAGGACAAGTAGTATGCATCCTCAAGCTAATGGCAGTGTCGAACGCTTTAATCGCACCCTAGCTACTATGTTGACTATGTACTGTGAGCACAACCAGAAAACATGGGATAAGTATCTCCCACAAGTCATGATGGCATACCGAGCTTCCATACATTCAAGTATCAATACAACACCAAATCTCATGATGTTAGGCAGAAATGTTACTCTACCCCTAGAAGCAGTTGTTGGCAAACCTCCAAATCAGACAGATGATGGCATAGAACCAAATGAGTATATTGATGAGCTGCAAAGAATTTTGACAGATGTTCATGCCCTGGCCAGGAAACACCTGAAAAAGAGCACAGAATACAATAAACATCACTATGATCTCAAAGCAAAGAAACAATTGTTTGAAAGAGGTCAACCTGTCTGGCTGTATGACGATACCAGGAAAGCTGGAGTGTGTCCAAAACTAACTTCTAAATGGAAAGGTCCTTATCTCATCATTAAGCGAATAGATGATTTGAACTACCTCGTGCAAACGACATTCCGAAAACCCGCAAAAGTTTATCATGTTGATAGATTGATGTCTTACAAAGGGAAAACCCTCCCCAACTGGTTTAAGAAAATTTTGAATAAACCATAGAAGTTTCTTCAGATGTTGTTTTGTATTCTTATGTTTCATGTTAGTTTAAGAAGTCATACTTAGATGTTTATGTAGACGATAGATGTGAGATTGGTGCACCACTGAGGTTGGGATAGAGCTGGCCTGATCACCCAGAACTCTTTTCCCAAAGATGTTGATAGAGATGGTTAACAAGTCGTTTATAAGACAGTATTATAGACATGGACCTACTACCTGGTACACATCACGCACTGAATCTAATAGATGTATGATGTCTTGTTCTAACCAGTCTCTTAGAGATTTAGATGTAGATGTTAGTACATGAAGTAGCTAACTTTAGAAGTAGAAGTATGAGATGACAGATGTTATGATTTCGTATTTAGTTTAAACAACGAAGAAACTCTCTTAGAAGCTAAGACGATATAAGATGACCCATAAACGCCTTTAACAACCAATTAATTTAATTTTAGACTATGGATATGGAATGTTGGGTGTGCCACCTGAAGTTTCCCTCCAGCAGAGATTTGAAGAATCACATGATGCCAGCCCATGGAACTATGCGAGTTATTTGCCCCTGGTGCCCTGATGAAAGGACTTACAAGAGAGTGACTGACCTCAGAAGCCATATTAAGAGTACCCACCCAACTCAACTTGCTAAATATCCGTCAGATTTGATTTCGGAGAACAACGGAGTGTGGTTTAGCCTCGATCCAGAAGGGTACAGTCGCCTGGTGAATGGGACGGATTGGGGAAGTACGTCTGCCACCCACGCAAGAGTGCTAGTTTTAGAGTGGTTGTCAACAGCAAGGAGAATGTCAAGAAAGAAGGACGACTGGCAGAGAGGCTGGGACCAGCTCAAGAAGAGCGGCAAAGCAAGGGCGCCAACCCCAGAATCACTCTTCCAGCCCGACTATGAGGAGGAGCTGAATACAGTATGCTACACCCCCACTGCCCCAGAGGTAGAAGAGCTCGAGATTTTGTATGTCTCCCTCGTCTTGGGGAACATATGTGTGTTTGTGGGCCAGGGCAGACAAGTGTACAAGATCATCTTGAAGGAAGCAATTTTATCAGATGCCAAGGGTATTGCCAGCCTGTCAAGGAAAATGTCTGTCCAGAAGAGGGTTGAAGCTCCTCAGTCCAATCTACAGAAAATGAGACCGGTAACATCACCAACCATTCAGAATAGGTTGATTAAGTTTGTTGGCGTTGAACGTACTCATCTGGACCTGATTTACTCCTCCCAAGAGACAGAGGCCAGTCCTGCCATTCCTCCAACTAAGAAGATAAGGCTGAGCCCCGCCCCTGCTCTCCCTGCACCACCCACAGAGGAAGTTTTGTTTGAGCTGGCCTCACAGAAAGAACCTAATGAAAAACCCAGGGCTAGTATGTCGGAGAGGGCCCTCAACCTATTAAAGCGAGGATGCCTCCCACTATTCCCCCCAGCCAGAAGGGATTGGAGTTCCACACAAATAACGCTTAAATCAAGGATGTTAGCATTACATGGCCCCCTACAGAGTGGCAGGCCATGTCCGCAGACAGGAAACTCTTATCGTGGGAATACGCATCAATGATGCTACAACAGAGGATGGACCCGACAAAAAGTTCCACCATCGAACGAATAGATCTTCTGGACAAGTTCAACTTCTTGGCACTTCCAGGCACAGTAGAGAAACAGGGGAAGAAGGAAGCGCACATTGTTCGCAAGGCTCGGTATTACATCTACGAACAGCTCAAGACCATTGTAAGTGAAGACAACGGAGATCCCACCTGGATAAGGATGCTGGAGAGATCATGTGCCCTCAGAGACCGTTCCACTGATGACTTCCTCTCCACCATTGACTCTAAGGACATTCCTATTAGATTGTGAAAGTGTTAAAGACTGTAAAGAGCTATATTCTGTACATGTTAAATTCAGGAGAATTTTGTAATTAAGTTGTGGAGAGTGTAATATATCACTTGATTTGTAAACGTAATATTATGCGGTCGTCCAGTTCTCATTCTTGTTAAATCTATGTTCAACATGTGCCTGCCAGAAAAGTTGTTCGTTTAGGATTTTATTGGAAATAATATGTCAGCTTATCTAGATACGATTTTAGTAATAGCTATTATCATCATAATTTACCTGTTGTCGCTTCATGTAATATCGTAGGAGTTATAATATCGGGGAATAGAGGGTGGATTTTACATTTCATGTTTTGGAAGCCATCATACTTTACTCGGATCGTCATTTCCGGTTTGGTGACCTATATGTATTTACTAGTAATGCATTGTTCTATTGAAGTTATGAATATGGGATCGTATTCTACTTTTAGTTTGAGTTGTTTTGTGATTTGAAGCTACAAGTTGTTATTTATTATTAGCATTCACTTTATAATCAGTCAGCTTTATCGGGACTACATTTGTGTACGCTAGTGTCGGTAGTTACGATATTCCTACGCTACATTGTTCTGCATATATTGTACAGTCTAGGGATGTTTTATAAACATTGAAGGAATTTATTAATTCGTCTAGTCAAGCTTATTTTATGTGTTATACTTCCACTTGTCAATTTTACATAGTTTAACTAGTTACGATGTTGTACGGTAGCTTGTGTGGAAGAAGTAGTTCTGTGTGGGAACTTGTGTGGGAACTCAGCCTCCCGTACAAGCTTTTGATTGGTTAATAGTTCGTACGGCATAATTTTATTGGATAATTCGAGTCATGTGACAGGGAATAGGAGGTTATATAAGCAAGCGCGTACTACGTTACGACAGATTTCAGCTAGTTGTATGGCGGCTATATTTGAAAGTTAAAAAGAAGAAAACAAAAACGGTGAGATACTTATAATGTTATTTACGTATATTTAGCCTAGTTAGAAATCTCCTACCACACTGGACGACCTAAATTTGTGTTTCTGAAGAATCAGCTGTTTTATATTGATGTTTACATATTGTATTGTTATGATTATGAGATGCTGCACATACAATAAATGCTGAGTATGACTGATCAACCATCTTGAGTATCATTCAACAAAGAATCTACACAGAGTGGTGCCTGGTTGTTTAACATATTAGAACAAATTTAATTACTGGTACATCCTGACAAAAGATGCTTTATTTAGAAGATAAACTATGGCCTATATATAGATGCTGAGGATTCAGAAATACTAGCCACCCCTGGGGTAGCTTACAATACATTTAGCTACTGTAAATAGCTTTTTATTCATGAGAACTTTATTTTTGTGTAATTATGCGAGACACTGAGCATGCAAAAAGTTCATTCTCATGTATTATAGTATTCCTTAAGATTATATACAGGAATAACAGCAATTTGTGAAAATCATGTTTCGCTTATAAAGAGTCAATTGACAATCTCACAAAAAAGGTGTCGTGAAAATTTAGTGATCTACAGTATGTAAAAATAGATTCTAGATTCTTTAGTTATTAAAATTTAAAAAAATAAGAGAAGACGTGCAAATTTTATATTTTTATTTCTGTCATTGGACAGATCATCATGTCTTTGTTAAATTAGATAACAAATAATTTTTTATAGAAAGCCTTATTCAATACTTCATTAGTCATGTTAGTTGTGCTCTGAAGTAAAAAGAAAAAAACAAAACTATGATTTTGAGATGTTTCCTACTCAAAATTTTAGGGAGACATGGTAAGGAAGCTAAAAGAAGAAAAAGCTCCTGATATAGATGTACAGAAGGCTGTAGCTGAGTTAAAGCACAGGAAGAAGACGCTAGAAGACAAGGTAAATATGTCATAGCACAGAGCAATAGACGCAATATCACTAGACAAGTAGACACCGTAGCACTAGACAAGTAGACACCATAGCACTAGACAAGTAGACACCATAGCACTAGACAAGTAGACACCATAGCACTAGATAAGTAGACTCCATAGCACTAGACAAATAGACATCATAGCACTAGACAAGTAGACACCTTAACATTAGACAAAAACATCATTGCACTAGATAAGTAGACTCCATAGCATTAGACAAATAGACATCATAGCACTAGACAAGTAGACACCATAGCACTAGATAAATAGACACCTTAACACTAGATAAGTAGACAGCATAACACTAGACAAGTAGACACCTCAACACTAGACAAAGAAACATCATACCACTAGATAAGTAGACTCCATAGCACTAGACAAGTAGACATCATAGAACTAGACAAGTGGACACCATAGCACTAGATAAATAGACACCATAGCATTAGACAAGTAGATAATACAGCATTATACAAGTAGACACCATAGCACTAGACAACTAGGCACCATAGACAAGTAGATACCATAGCACCAGACAAATAGACACCAGAGCACTAGACAAATAGAAATCATAGTACTAGACAAGTGAACACCATAGCACTAGACAAGTAGATACAATAGCACTAGACAAGTAGACACCATAGCATATAAGTAGACACCATAACACCAGACAAGAAAATGCCATAGCACTAGACACCATAGCACTACACAAGTAGACACCATAGCATATAAGTACACACTATAGCACTAGACAAGAAGACACCATAGCACTAGACAAGTAGTCACTACAGCATTATGCAAGTAGACACCATAGCATATAAGTACACACTATAGCACTAGACAAGAAGTCACTACAGCATTATGCAAGTAGACACCATATCACAAGATCAGTAGACACCATCGTATTAAGTAGACAAATAGACACTATAGCACTAGATAAGAAGACACCATAGCACTAGGCAAGTAGACCCTAAAGCACTAGACAAGAAGACACCATAGCACTAGACAAGTAGTCACTAATGCACAAGACAAGTAGACACTGTACTGATCTAGACATACAGAAGATTATCACTAAACTAAAACACAGAATTAGACAAGGTACTTATGACATAGTAAAGATGAAGACACCAAATCACTAGACAAGTAGACACCATAGCACTATAAAAGTAGACACCATAGCACTAGATAATTAAATTACCTTTTTCCACCTTTTTAGCTCACCTGAGCCGAAGGCTCAAGTGAGCTTTTCTGATCACATTTTGTCCGTCGTCCGTCCGTCCGTCTGTCTGTCTAGCTGTCTGTCCGTCTGTAAACTTTTCACATTTTCGACTTCTTCTCAAGAACCACTGGGCCAATTTTGACCAAACTTGGTACAAAGCATTCTTGGATGAAGGGAAATTTAAATTGTTAAAATGAAGGGACATATCCCCTCGCAAGGGGAGATAATCAAGAAAAGAGAAAAATAGGGTTGGGTCATTAAAAAATCTTCTTCTCAAGAACCACTGGGCCAGTAAAGCTGAAACTTATGTGGAAGCATCCTGGGGTAGTGTAGATTCTAAATTGTTCAAATCATGACCCCCGGGGGAAGGGCGGGGCCACAATGGGGAATCAAAGTTTTATATACAAATATATAGGAAAAATCTTTGAAAATCTTCTTCTCAAGAACCACTGGGCCAGAAAAGCTGAAACTTATATGGAAGCATCCTGGTATAGTGTAGATTTTAAATTGTTCACATCATGACCCCCGGGAGAAGGGCGGGGCCACAATGGGGAATCCAAGTTTTACATAGAAATATATAGGAAAAATCTTTGAAAATCTTCTTCTCAAGAACCACTGGGCCAGAAAAGCTGAAACTTATGTGGAAGCATCCTGGTATAGTGTAGATTCTAAATTGTTCACATCATGACCCCCGGGAGAAGGGCGGGGCCACAATGGGGAATCCAAGTTTTACATAGAAATATATAGGAAAAATCTTTGAAAATCTTCTTCTCAAGAACCACTGGGCCAGAAAAGCTGAAACTTATGTGGAAGCATCCTGGTATAATGTAGATTCTAAATTGTTCAAATCATGACCCCCGGGGGAAGGGGGGGGCACAATGGGGAATCAAAGTTTTATATACAAATATATAGGAAAAATCTTTGAAAATCTTCTTCTCAAGAACCACTGGGCCAGAAAAGCTGAAACTTATGTGGAAGCATCCTGGTATAGTGTAGATTCTAAATTGTTCAAATCATGACCCCGGGGGAAGGGCGGGGCCACAATGGGGTATCAAAGTTTTACATAGAAATATATAGGAAAAATCTTTGAAAATCTTCTTCTCAAGAACCACTGGGCCAGAAAAGCTGAAACTTATGTGGAAGCATCCTGGTATAATGTAGATTCTAAATTGTTCAAATAATGACCCCCGGGGGAAGGGCGGGGTCACAATGGGGAATCAAAGTTTTATATAGAAATATATAGGAAAAATCTTTGAAAATCTTCTTCTCAAGAACCACTGGGCCAGAAAAAGTGAAGCTTATGTGGAAGCATTCTGAGGAAGTGTAAATTCTAAATTGTAGGAATCATGACCCCCGGGGGAAGGGTAGGGCGACAATGGGGTATCAAAGTTTTACATAGAAATATATTGGAAAAATCTTTGAAAATCTTCTTCTCAAGAACCACTGGGCCAGAAAAGCTGAAACTTATGTGGAAGCATCCTGGTATAATGTAGATTCTAAATTGTTCAAATAATGACCCCCGGGGGAAGGGCGGGGCCACAATGGGGATTAAAGTTTTTTTATAGAAATATATAGGAAAAATCTTTGAAAATCTTCTTCTCAAGAACCACTGGGCCAGAAAAAGTGAAGCTTATGTGGAAGCATTCTGGGGTAGTGTAAATTCTAAATTGTATGAATCATGACCCCCGGGGGAAGGGCGGAGCCATTATAGGGGAATCAAAGTTTTACATAGAAATATATAGGAAAAATCTTTGAAAATCTTCTTCTCAGGAACCACTGGGCCAAAAAAGCTGAAACATATGTGCCCATGGAAGGATCATGGGGTAGTGTAGATTTCAAAATGTCTAAATTATGATCAGTGGGGTAGGGTGGGGATGCATTATGTATAACAAAGGGGAAATCTGGTAAAGAACAGAATGGTCAAAGCTTCTCAGGTGAGCGATGTGGCCCATGGGCCTCTTGTTTAGTTTTTCTTTGACAGAGATGGATTGCCATGCATTATTTTTTAATCATTATAGGAACTTGACCTGGGAGCCAAAGACAATATAGATCGAGGAAAAATGGAAGATTTACTGAAGCAGAAATTCTTTTTTGATCAATCATTTTCAATTTATGGAGGTAATAAATTCAAACCTGTCTAGAAAAGAAAATGAAAGAATAAAAGTTATAATCAAGCTTAATTTTAAGTAAAACCGAAAAAAGTTTTTCTTCAAATTTTTTACTACTTTTAGCTACTGCTGCATTTTCTATTTGAATTTTTGTAACCCATTATAAGGTCCTTTTATGTGAACTGCCTATTTGCTTTGTAGGTGTGAATGGTTTGTATGACTTTGGCCCCATGGGATGTGCTGTCAAAGCCAACCTTCTCCAAGCCTGGAGGAATTTCTTTATTTTGGAGGAGCAGATGCTGGAAGTGGACTGCTCCATGCTGACTCCAGAACCAGTCTTAGTGTAAGTCATGCTAACCAAGAGTGAGTTTAAGTGTAAGTGTAAATCATGCTTATCACTGAATCAGTCTTAGTTAAGTTATGCTCCACCCTGACCCCAGAATCAATCTAAGTGTAAGTATTGTCCAATTCTGACTCTTGAGCATTCTTAGTGTAAATAATGCTCCATGCTGACCCAGAGACAATCTTAGTGTAATTCATGCTGACTCCAGAGCCAGTCTAAGTGTAAACCATACTTTATGCTCCATGCTGACTCCACAACCAGCCTTAGTGTAAGTCATGCTCCATGCTGATTCTAGAACCAGTCTTAGTGTAAGTCGTGCTGACTCTAGAACCAGTCTTAGTGTAAGTCGTGCTGACTCCAGAACCAGTCTTAGTGTAAGTTATAATGACCCCAGAACCAGTCTTAGTGTAAGTTATAATGACCCCAGAACCAGTCTTAGTGTAAGTTATAATGACCCCAGAACCAGTCCTAGTGTAAGTCGTGCTGACTCTAGAACCAGTCTTAGTGTAAGTCATGCTGACTCCAGAACCAGTCTTAGTGTAAGTCATGCTGACCCCCAAACCAGTCTTAGTTAAGTCGTGCTGACTCTAGAACCAGTCTTAATGTAAGTCATGCTGACTCTAGAACCAGTCTTAGTGTAAGTCGTGCTGACTCTAGAACCAGTCTTAGTGTAAGTCGTGCTGACTCTAGAACCAGTCTTAGTGTAAGTTGTGCTGACTCTAGAACCAGTCTTAGTGTAAGTCGTGCTGACTCTAGAACCAGTCTTAGTGTAAGTTGTGCTGACTCTAGAACCAGTCTTAGTGTAAGTCGTGCTGACTCTAGAACCAGTCTTAGTGTAAGTCGTGCTGACTCTAGAACCAGTCTTAATGTAAGTCGTGCTGACTCTAGAACCAGTCTTAGTGTAAGTTGTGCTGACTCTAGAACCAGTCTTAGTGTAAGTCGTGCTGACTCCAGAACCATTCTTAGTGTAAGTCGTGCTGACTCTAGAACCAGTCTTAAAGTAAGTCGTGCTGACTCTAGAACCAGTCTTAGTGTAAGTCGTGCTGACTCCAGAACCAGTTTAAGTGTAAGTCGTGCTGACACTAGAACCAATCTTAGTGTAAGTCGTGCTGATTCTAGAACCAGTCTTAGTGTAAGTCATGCTGACTCTAGAACCAGTCTTAGTGTAAGTCGTGCTGACCCCCAAACCAATCTTAGTGTAAGTTATGCTGCATGCTGACCCCTGAGCCAGTTTTAGTGTAAGTTATGCTCCATGCTGATCCCAGAACCAGTCTTAGTGTAGGTCATGTTCCATGCTGACCCCTGAGCCAGCGTTAGTGTAAGTTATGCTCCATGCTGATCCCAGAACCAGTCTTAGTGTAAGTCATGCTCCATCCTGACCACAGAGCCAGCATTAGTGTAAATTATGCTTCATGCTGATCCCAGAACCAGTCTTAGTCTAAGTCATGCTGACATTATAGCCAGTCTTAGTGTAAGTCATGCTCCATGCTGACTCCAAAATCAGTCCTAGTGTACGTTATGCTCCATGCTGATACCAAAATCAGTCCTAGTGTACGTTATGCTCCATGCTGATACCAAACTCAGTTCTAGTGTACGTTATACTCTATGCTGATACCAAAATCAGTCCTAGTGTACGTTATGCTCCATGCTGATACCAAAATCAGTCCTAGTGTACGTTATACTCTATGCTGATACCAAAATCAGTCCTAGTGTAAGTCATGCTCCATTATGACCCCAGACCTAGTCTTAGTCAATTCACAAACAATGCAAAAGTAGACTACATCTATAAGTGGTAGTTCATACAATATTTTGGAGAAATAGGAAAGTGCCATTGTACATGTAGATTTTCTTTAAATATTGTTCTGTAATCAAATTGACAAGTGGTCTTATTTTAAAGTATATTTTAGCTAAACGGAACTTAGTGGAAAAGTGTTGTTATCAATTTAACGGTGTATTTCAAAATGTCAAAGTTCATTAGGACACGCAAACATAATATTCTCTTTACTTTGGTACAAACATGGACTTCTTATCATGACACATAGCTTGAGTGTTTTGTTCACAGAGCTATAGTTTTGGTAACACTCCACTTTTTCCATTCACAGAGCCTCGGGTCACGTGGAGAGGTTTCAGGACACCATGGTAAAAGATCTGAAGACGGGGGATTGTTACAGAGCAGACCACCTGATTGAAGGTACGAATATCCAGGTAGTGAGTATTTAGCTCGTTTAAGTACAGATGAACGTACATATAGGTACTGTAAACTAACTTTTATTTGCATACGAGAAATTTTCACGAGAGCCTCGTCATCGCAAATATTTCTTGCCGCGAACGGGTCCTTAACACCCTTCCCCGCAATCACGCATTTTAACGCATGTACCATTTCCTATTTCTAATGCAAGATCACGCATTTACTGTTTCCCCGCAATCACGCATTTTCACGCACTTTCAAAGGTTAATTTAATCTTCAATTTATTGCCAAATTCCAACTATTTTATACTTGCTTGAATCTCATAAAATAAGAAAAGTTATTTTCTAATTAAAATATTATTTCAGAATATTATTTATGCTAAACTTTAGAGAAATTTGTACCCCGCTATAAAGTGCTTGCGGGGAAATGGTAAAGTAATATTTCTATGACGCGAGGATTCAATGTATGTTGCATAGCAATTCTATAAGTTGTAAAGAGTTAAAGTCTCTTTTTCTATTAAAACAGTTCCAAAAACGGCTTTATCACGAAAATTAATTGCTGCAACTAGTTTACTCCCGGTAAATCGCGAAATAAAGTCGGCGCGAATAAAAGTTGGTTTACAGTATCTTGAACACCCATGTGTCTAAAACCAGGCACATGAAGAAGTAGGTATGCTATTGAGAGTTAGGTAAAGAAAAAGCTGAAATCATAAAAGCATTAGGCCAATCCACACTTTGCTAAAGTTGTGTCCCTTTGTGGGGTCAATCAAAAGGTCAAAAGGGAAATAAATGACGTTTCTCCTCTTTATGCTACCTATCATTTGGGCAATGAAAAGTTTCGGTGTCAAAGTCTAGCTGTATTTATTAAGGATAAATTTAGGATATGATTTTTATGTTCATTAATGTACTGTTGTACACAGTTCAGATAAATGTATAGGGATGGGTATCAGCTGGAATGTTCATATTATTACATACTTCATAGATTCACATGAATCCTATTATCATTTTTTCAGATGCCTTAAAAACAGAATTTGATGAATTGAGGATAACTTTCATGCTCTTGTTAATGTTATGTTTATTTTTCTCACAGCCACCTTTGAGAAGATGTTAGCAGACAAAAAAGTTGATGCAGAAAAGAAGACAGAAATCAAGAAGCTGCTACCACTGGTAATTCTTCAAACAAGATTTTCCATAATCCCTGTTCCCACTCCAATTTTTCTTTAGAATTGCTAATGATTTACAATTTACAGTAGGTCAAAGTTTTTTACAATACATGTACTGTTGGCCAATACTCTTGAGAAATCAAAGCTTCTTTGTGATTCTGTTTCTTAAAATATTTTTTCTTGACTATTATTTCTCTCTATATTTTAACTGAATAAGTAAATTATGTAGCTTTATACATACCTTAAATTATTTAAAAATGTATTGTTAATATAAATTAAAACAAATGAAAAATCTTATAACATTTTAGAAGACCTTGAGAAATATATACTTGAAATATATATTTAAAATTCATATTTTTAAGATATTTGTAAATTACTAAGAAATCATCTAATTCATAATTAAACACTGACTATTCATTGAGTTCTGCCTTGTAGTTCTAAGCCTTTTTTTCAGATTGATGGAATGTCTAAAGAAGATATGGGAAAAACCATAGTACAGTACAACATGAAGGCTCCACTCACAAACAATGATCTCTCAGATCCAATGGAATTCAATCTCATGTTCTCAACGGCCATTGGACCCACTGGGCACATAAAGGGGTATGAAGAGTTAAAGCAATATGAGCTTCAACTTTGATGTCTAATAATTTTGCTGCAATATTGTAGTTAACTATTTCAATGACAGAAAAAAACATTTATAAACCTCTGTTGCTCATATTTGCAATGGAAAAAAGTATTTACAAGCTTTAAAAGAAGCAGATTTAAATTACATTGTCGTCCTATACAATATTGATTTTTTATATAATGCTATACATTCCTTTATAGAAAATTGTTTTCTGAAAACCAAAATAATTTTGAATATCAGTCTAATGAAACATAATGATTTAAATTATATACAGATTTATCATAACAGCCAATTTTAATAGCAAAGTTAATTTCTCCAAAGTGCAATTCATATCGCTTTAATTAATTATTTATTTTACCCATTCAGGAGCGTAGATTTTATTATTTGTTCTTGTATACACCTTAACAAATGCTTCTTTCTTGGTAGATCAAAACTTTGGATATTAACACTTGCGTTGAAATTTGAAAATTAAAGTCGTGTGTAATGGAGATAAATTTTTTCATTTTAAAATCCTTTTTTTAACAGTTACCTCCGTCCAGAGACAGCTCAGGGAATTTTCGTTAATTTCAAGCGACTGCTGAACTTTAATCAGGGAAAGCTTCCTTTTGCTGCGGCACAGATTGGTAACGCCTTCCGAAATGAAATCTCTCCAAGAGCTGGACTGTTGAGAGTCAGGTGAAGAAAAAACTGATATCATGTAGACAATATGGTTTACCTGAGAATGGCCATTTATAAAATGAATTTTAAGAAGTGTCCACTTGTTTTTAAGATCTTGTATTTTATTCAGTTTTCAGTTGTTCATTTTTATAAGAGCATCTTTTTGCAGAATATTTTTCAGGCCTTTCAAAATCTGCTGGTAAATGCAAAATTTTACCCGGTTGGATTCCTTATGGTAAAAAATTTAAATGGAGAAAAAAAAATTTTTTTCAAATATGAAAGGCCCTACCATGTTTTAAAAAAGTTGTGGTTACGTAGCTTTGTATTATTCATAGTCCGTAATGGTATCTAATAACGTTTTTGATTGCTTAGTCAAGAAGATCATTAAAGCGTTTGAATAAATGAAACAAAAGAGATTGCGTAACGCGTCTTATAGATCTTGTCGAAAACAAAAGTAGATTTCGATTTCCAATGCCACCGTAACTGATTTTGACAACAGCTAATGACTAGGAATATATTTTAAATAAATACGGCCAAGAAAATAAAAAATAGGAATCCAGGTGTCAGAAATGAAAGTGTCAATTTAAAGCCATGGTAATGAGTTTCACAAAAGATTTTAAGATACATTTACAAGGAACCAGACATGTCCATCTTCCAACACAATTGACCGATTAGAGAGACGGACATGAACAGTTAAATAAAAAACCACCTCTGTACATTTTAATAACCTCAACTCTTCAAATTTAAGTGTCAAAATCCGCAGCTACGATATAAATTACTTACAGTCTTGAATATCTGCAACTTTCTGATGAAACAAAAGGACATAAAACAGAAACTATTTCTTTTGCCACACATTTAATTCTTTGATTCAGCAGTGTTCTAGTGGTCAAGAGAATGACCTTGCGGACGTTAATTTCTTCCCAATATTGTAACCATATCCAGTAAAGTGACCCAGCCTTTTATTTTCAAAATTTTTTTGTCTCCAGTCTTGATGTCATCTTTGTCTAATTTACACATGTATATTATTTTATATGTACATGTACCAGTGCATGAAAAATATGCTGAATTTATTAGTACATGCTATGCATCATGCAGTGCTTCTAAATTTTTTTTTTAATCTGCACTTTACTGTAGAACAGAAATGAATTTAATTTAATGCAAATACAGTTTCATTTCTCTTTTATTAAATTTAAATTTTGAATTTCCATTTCCTTTCGTGACTCTATAATTTTTTTTATATTTAAAACATAACACTTACAACTCAAACCTTGCAAAAAATTTTTGAACACATTTATATAAACAAATATAGCATAGCACTTAGAAGTTTTACCGAAATCTTATTCTTACTCTGCTCAAATAACTAATTTTTTCTATGGAATTCCACCCATCCAGTGCTTACCTTCACATGTAATGTGTATTGACCAAAAATAAACTTTGAAACATGGCATAAAAATAACACTGATAGCAGCATACTTCTATGTGCCTAGAAACCAGGAAATGCTGTCTGGTGGCTTCTAAATTTCAAAATTTTTCCGGGGGGTGGGGGGGCATTTTACAGAGAGTTCACAATGGCTGGCTCACGCCTTTCTGTGACCCTGTTGAAGTGGTACCTCCTATTTTTGTACCACCTGGTTCAAATCTTTTTGAAAGCCCTGATTTTTACAGTTTGGTAATTGGACAAAATTTTGATTTAACAGTAATAAGCAAAGGGGTAATTTTTGCAGACATCTAAGAATTTACATTTATGTTAGTCATTCGTATAGTAGGATGTTACTCAGTTGTATAGTAGGATATCTTTCCTTGAAACCCTTTACATTAATTCTGCAAAACTACATGAACTACATGTACTGATAACAAACTTTGCAAAAATTTCCCCAATGCAAACATTTTCATCTTCACAGTGTAATTGAATCCAAACTTTAAATTTACAGAGAGTTCACAATGGCTGAGATAGAACATTTCTGTGACCCTGTCATGAAGGATCACCCAAAGTTCAACACAGTGGCGGATCTAGATGTGGTGTTATACTCCGCATGTAACCAGATGGATGGCAAGTCACCTCAGGTGTGGAAACTAGGGGAGGCAGTGAAACAGGTGAGTGGTGGATCTATAGGGGTGGCAAGTCACCTCAGGTGTGGAAACTAGGGGAGGCGGTGAAACAGGTGAGTGGTGGATCTATAGGGTGGATTACTGTAAATTTTTATTTATTTATTCACGATTCTTTAATGTGGAATCTATCCACAACCACTTAATTTTGCGACTGAGATAACATTTTAAATATAACATAGGTAGATAATTTGTTAGCAGTTTTAAACATCTTAAATATTTGTAAATAAAAGAAGGTCTCAAAACTCGTGAATATTTCTCGCTGGCAAAACAAAGTTGGTTTCCAGTATGTCTTGAAAGAGTTCAATTATCTGCTATTATAATAGGGTATTCTTGATGAAGGTGAATGTTTTTTTTCTAAGTAAGCAAGCTCCAAAATTATTCCTCATTTATTTAGTGAGATAACTAAACTTAATAAGAAAAAGAAATGTTTTATAGATGTTTTTTCATTCTTTTAAAACTATAAACTTAATTTACATGTATTTTCCCTTTTCAGAAACTGATAGCTAATGAAACACTTGGGTATTTTATGGGGAGGATCCAACTTTTTATGCTGAAGTGTGGCATTGACAAGAAGAAGCTGAGGTTCCGACAACACATGTCTAATGAGATGGCTCATTACGCCTGTGATTGCTGGGACGCCGAATGTAAAACTACATACGTAAGTAGAGAGTAATGGCGATCGCTGATTTATACTCTGTTTTTACCTTACTGTAAAATCACATCTTTTCTTGAGGATCAAATTTTCAAGGTTTGAGGAAAAAATATTGGCTAGTGGGGATTCAATTTCTTGGTTATAGAAAGTTTTATTAGTAATGCATCTGAAATTTTATATTTTTTGGTGGTCATAATTTGTGGGTCTCATCATGCCTCAACAACAACGAAAATTAAACCCCCATAAAAATACATGTAAGTGATTTCACAGTAATTTCTATCTTCATGTCTAAAACTTTTTGAGCATTTTTTGAGCAATAAAGGTCAAGCAGGGATTTCAAAGCAGTAAAATCTAAGGGATTAATTTTTATATTGCCATAACATAGTTCGTCAGAAATGTATCTGCAAAATCATTCCATGTAATGTAGAAAGGGGAACAACTCTGTTTTAACACAATTTTCATAATCAATTCCGCAAGTAAACCCTACTATTTTTAAGACAAAATTTTTTTGTTTGGTTAATATTTTGTGTGTGTGTCAATTGAATTAAAAACTTTAGATATTCATGTTCTGCAGTTCTTTTGAGTATAACATGCATATGATGGAGTCTTTACTTGTGTTTTGCCTTATGAAAAAGGCTTGCTTTAGGGAACTGGAATCTTGCTGATTCCCTCCGTGATATTCATTTATGTTCAGTATTTATTTTTAAGCTAACCTTAAACATTTGCAATCTAGGATGGCTATACATTTTCAGGGTTGGGTGGAGTGTGTTGGATGTGCAGACAGATCCTGTTATGACTTGAACCAGCACACAAAGGCTACGGGTACTAGATTAGTGGCAGAAAAGAGACTTCAGGCACCCATATCCTTTATCAGAGAACCTTTATATATGTAGTTCACTTAGATTTGACTGTTTTGTATTGGAACTTTGAAGGAAATTAAAAACAGGAGATTAAAAAAAATACTTTTTACAATGAAAATAATTTTGTGGAGGGAAAAAACTTTCAGAAAATTATCACCCTATGAAAGAAGTCAAATGCAAAATAAAAGGTTTGATTTGAAATCTTTTATTACCTTTAAAAAAAAGCAAAGGTACATGTAAATATAATGGTCAACAAAAATTTATTGGGACTCATTTAGTTGTGCATGATAAGAACAAAAAATATGAGTTTATACTTAATAATTTATCTCATGACAGTGCGGAAATAAGGTAAGATTTTTAACGTGATCCTTAACAAGACCTACAAAGAGGTGGATGTTGTGGAGTGTACATCCAACAAAGGAACCCTGGGTAAAGTGTTCAAGAAAGATGCTAAGGTTATAGGAGAGTACCTAGCCGGACTCACTTCTGATGACTGTGATAGAATAGAGAATGACTTGTCCAGCAATGGGTAGGGGTTAATAATAATAGGCATGTTTCATGTGTAAAAATATATTTTATACAGGTAAATCTTCGCCCTCTTCATGATCGGGTGAATTCAAAACGAGGTGAATTCAAAGAAGACAGCTTAATTTCTTAAACAGAACTATGACCGGGCAAATTTAAAATGGGGCCAAATTGTTCACAAGTGCAAAAGGGCGAAAATTACATGGGGCGAAAATAACCCTGTATACAGTATATAGCAAGGCAAACACTGATAGAGGTCATAAGTGAGACTTTCTTTAGCTTATATATTGTATACCATTTACAGCAGTCAATGTCAAGTCTTTTAAATATTCCAATTTTTTTTGGAGAGAAAGATGTGCTCAAACTTCTTCATACTAACAGGAGAGATAACTCTCTTTGGATAATTGATTGTAAAAGCCATGTCTGTCAACTTCTACCCTGTATGGTACATGTATTTTTTTAATTTATTGTTTTTTTTCAAGTGAATCTCAGATAAAAGTTGGTGAACAAACCTTTACACTCAAACCTGACATGGTGTCCATCAAACGATACAAGAAAAAAGTACACGGTAGGTGAAATACTGTAGATTGGCAAATAATCACGATGGTTTTAATTTCGCTATGTTCATGATTTATCATTTTTCTGCAAAATTAAACTCAACATGAATGTTATTATTAGTTTTTAAAAACATTTAAATGCTTATATGAAAATTTGCATTAATTTCTTGCAGCATGAAATTAAATCCATCGCAATTGGTACTTATTGAGATATTGTGAAATTTTAACACCATGAAATTAAAGCGACTTACAATATTACATCCACACAATTCAATGGTTGTGGTATTATTGAAATTCTCAGATATCCATGATTTTGGTTTGTGCAACATTTTATTTTGCCTTTTTTTCCAAACTTCAAACCAACAAATACTGTCAGCATATATAATTTTTGTCCTGGTTTTATTTTTCCCCACATTTTCATCCGTCAGTTGGCAAATAGAAAATGGGAAAAAGTTAACAGGGATAGAGTGTTAGTCTCTTGATAACAACAACAGCTGCGTGGATATGTAGTGAAATTGTTACATTGAAAGCAAAAAATGGGACAGTAATATCCCTTCTCCCTCATTTGTATAATAACATGCCTATTGATTTTTATTTACTGATTGCTACAGTTGAAGAATTAGTGCCCTCCGTTATTGAACCCTCGTTTGGGATTGGTCGAGTCATGTACGCCATGTTTGAGCACAACTTTAAAATACGAGATGGTGATGAACAGAGATCAGTAAGTGTATCAACTGACACAAGAAGTTAACATTTCTTTGTTTTAAATATTACCATTCAAATTTTCTTATTTATTCCTGTATATGTTTGAAAGATAGTGACATAATGCAATATCCCCCTCTTCATAAAGAATATTGGAGTTAATCACCTTTTTTGAATAACCAAAGTTTGCTAAATTGCTATATTTGTGAGATTATAGTTTTTAGTGCTTAATCTTTTATTTAAAAAATAATGTATTGAAATGTCTTCACTTTAATTTTAAAAAAAATATGTCTGTTGATTATATTTAAATACACGTAATATTAATTACTGAATTATTATTTTTTTGTAGTACTTTTCACTGCCTGCCATTATTGCACCATATAAATGCTCTGTTCTGCCTCTCAGTAACAAGGATAGCTTCATACCATTTGTCAGAGAGCTGTGTAAGTATTTAACAAGGATAGCTTCATACCGTTTGTCAGAGAGCTGTGTAAGTATTTAATAAGGATAGCTTCATACCATTGTAAGAGCTCTGTATCTGCATACATGGTTATTTATGATCTTGTTTATCATGCCACATCTGACTTGGCCATTTAATTGTAATAGGAAAAAACCTTTTCCTATTGTGGTCAATATTAACTACTTCCTCTATTTTTAGCCAAGGCCTTGACCCTGAATGACATTTCTCATCGTGTGGACGACAGCAGTGGTTCCATAGGAAAACGATATGCCAGGACAGATGCCATTGCTATACCATATGGTGTGACCATAGATTTCGACACATTAAATGCCCCCCACACAGCCACGTTACGAGAAAGGGACTCAATGAAACAGATCCGAGCACCAGTAAGTTTATTCTAAGATAAAGACGGTTGAACTTTGGTTTCTCAAATGTCAATTTATCCGAGGTGTGAGACACATTTTCTTTCATGAATTTATTAAGTAATTTCTTGAACCCTCAGAGTTCTTTAATCTTGGTCCCGAAGAGTTCAATATCAAGGTGGTTGGTTTAAAGTGGTTATGTTCTATTTTTTCAAGCTGGAGGAAATCCCCTTGATTGTGAAGTCCCTGTCTACTGCAATGAGAACTTGGGAGGATGTACTTAATAATTACCCCATATTTGAACAACAGGAAGCAACAAAGGAAAAATGAAGACATTTTTTTTCTTTTTAGCTCATTATGTTAATCTGTCTTTTAAATTATTTTCTCTGTTCGTAGCCATCAATACCATGGCAAAACAGACTTTTCTGTCAGTATTAGAACAAAAGCTACAGACCATAAAAAAAGACCATAAAAAAGCTATGGACAGGAATTGAAAAACTAAATATTTCTCTTGTGTTTCAATTATTGCCTGGATTACCCCTAAGTACATTTGTGTCATGATGATAATATTATGTGGTTTAGCCAGTGCATGACTACATATAAAATCAGTGATCATTTTGAAAATTTAAAGGTCTTTATTAGGGCTGCTATTTGAATTTTCAAGGTCACACAATTTTTTTTTGAGACATAAAAGTAGTTTTTGTATACTCACTTGGGGATGTGCTGTAAAGGTTAATTATTCAATTAACCTTTTATCTCTAAATATCAATAAAAGGTTCTTAATTTATAAAAATAAAAAATAAATCAAGTAATAAAATTGATAAAAATGACTTTATTTGTTGTTTTTATTGAAACTTTTATCTTTATATTAATTTTCTTTAGGAATATAACATTAAGGGAAGATGTTATAAAAAAATCTACGTAAACTGAATATACATTACAAAAAAAAATCATTAACAATTTTATCAAGTATTGTATATATATATATATATAAAGGATTTTATGATGAAAAGTTTCTGTCTTTCTTGCATACTGACCTTTACCATAAAGCCACAAGAAGTTAAGTATGCTGTCAGGGTTGTCCCGTAAACCCAAGGGCCAGGGATTTCCTCGCCTATAATGATGTATTCCCCGAGTTATTTTGGTATTCCCCCTAAACTCCCCATAAAAGGAGAAACTCCAAGACCCCGTTCTACTTTTTATATGTCCCTTTCTATTTAAATTCTTGAGGACAAACCTGACTGTATTTGACATAAATTCCTCACCGCCTTCGAGGAGATTAACATAAAGTTGCTTTACATTACATGTTACATACATGTAGACACCAACAGGTTTTATTGTATAAATCAAATAAAAGATCCAAGCACAAACTCATGTAATTTAAGGACGTTCGATCCTGAGCTTTTGAGCGTATTTTGGTCAGGTCATTTATTTATAAAATTTTGCATCATTTTTAGCTCACCTCAACGAAGTTGGGGGGAGCTTATGTGATACCGTCGGCGTCCCAGGTTAAGGTTAAGTTTTTTGGAGCAGTTTTCTTTTTAATTACTTCTGCGTCCTATATTGATTAGACATGCATGGAAGATGGTTTTAGTGTGTTTTATTGTACCAGACAAAGTTTCAGATGCTGCAATTTCAGCAAAGGAATTACCAGGTTAATGTTTTTGGAGCAGGTTAACATTTTTGGTGCAGTTTTTGGTGTGGGTTTCATTTCCAAGTAACTATAAGCCCTATGTTGACCAAACTTGCATGGATGATACATCTAAGGATGCATACTACCGGGCTTGCTTCAGATGCTGAATCTGATCTACATTTTCAGGTTGAGTGAACAGGTTAAAGTTTTCGGTGCAGGTTTCATTTCCAAGTAACTATAAGCCCTATGTTGACCAAACTTGCATGGATGATACATCTAAGGATGCATACTACCGGGTTTGCTTCGGATGCTGAATCTGACCTACATTTTCCGGTTGAGTGAACAGGTTAAAGTTTTTGGTGCAGGTTTCATTTCCAAGTAACTATAAGCCCTATGTTGACCAAACTTGCATGGATGATACATCTAAGGATGCATACTACCGGGCTTGCTTCGGATGCTGAATCTGACCTACATTTTCCGGTTGAGTGAACAGGTTAAAGTTTTTGGTGCAGGTTTCATTTCAAAGTAACTATAAGCCCTATGTTGACCAAACTTGCATGGATGATACATCTGAGGATGCATACTACCGGGCTTGCTTCGGATGCTGACTCTGACCTACATTTTCCAGTTGAGCAAACAGGTTAATGTTTTTGGTGCAGGTTTCATTTGCAAGTAACTTTAAGCCCTATGTTGACCAAACTTGCATGGATGATACATCTAAGGATGCACACTACCAGGCTTGCTTTGGATGCTGAATCTGACCTACATTTTCCGGTTGAGTGAATAGTTAAAAGTATTTGGTGCAGGTTTCATTTCCAAGGAACTATGAGTTCTTTAATGACCAGTCTTGCATAGATGATACATCTAAGGATGCATACTTCCAGGCTTGCTTCGGATGCTGAATCTGACCTACTTTTTGTGGATGAGTGAAAATGTTAGTTTGATGCATGTTTCATTTCCAATAAACTATGAGCCCTATAATGAGTAAACTTGCATGGATGGTACATCTAAGGATGCACACTAATGGACTTGCTTCGGATGCTGAATTGGACATACATTTTTCAGATAATAGACAAGGTAAAAGTTATGGTTGCAGGTCTATTACCAAAAACTATAAGGCTTATATAACATTGTATAAACCAAACTTGCACAAATGCTGCATCAAGAGATGAAAACTCTCAAATTTGCTTCAGGTGCTGGATTTTCATTACATTTTCATGAAGAAGAAGTAGTTTAAATATTTTATGTAGGTCTATTTCAAAGTATCAGATCAAAATTGCTTTTAAAAATATTTTCATTTTTGGAATGTATACTTTTTGTTGGTTAATTGTGTGACTTTGCCTTACTTAAAGACAACATTCGTTGAGGTGAGCTCTGTAATCTCTGATTACCTATGTTTAAGTTCTAACATTAAATCTGAATTCTAATGTGCAAATTTAACTATATCCAATGAAAAAAACCACAATTAAATTCCATTCAAGTAGAATTAAGCTTGGGACTATATTTTGTGGCGGAAGGTTCTTTAGACGAAAATGATCAGTTTTTCCATTTTGAACTATAACAGTACTGTAAATTTTGGATTCCTATTTTCCCATCCTGGTTGCACACAAAGCTGTTTTTTGCAGTGAAATGTGTTATGCTGGTTCTGAAAAATCTATTAAATTATTTCTTATGAATTCTGTCAACAAAATGTGACAAATATAGTCAATATATTATGAAAATCCGGGAAAAAATTGAGCCGATTTTAACGTAAAATTGACACTTTTTTAGTAATATCTGAAAATTTACATCATATACCCCCACTTTTGATGTTCTTTTCTAAATATTCAAGATAAATTTGACCTATTTGCTTAAAATCAGAAAAAGTTTAAGACTTTAAAATAATTTTCTTGCTTATTAAATTTTCAATGCCAGAAAAATCGACTCCCCCCCCCCTTAAAATTGCCAAACCCCCTCCCCCAAAAATTTTCAAAATGTATGCCCGACATTATTTTACTTCATTGCTCCAAAATTATATTTATTACAATGTCTTTATTCCCCCGCCCTTCGTGCATATAAATAAAGTATTATGTTTCTCAGGATACAAATGTGTGATAGTTTGGTAGTATTTTTTGTACATATATGTCTTTTGATTTATTGTCATTTATTGAAGGAGTGTTAGATTTTTTGTACCTGTCACATTATATTTTGTGCAATGTCTTTTTATGACTTTTTACATGCTATTATGTATTGTGAAGTTCTTATGATTTGTCCTCCTTAATAAATGACCATTTTTATTCTTTATATGGTAGTTGATTCTTCTTCTTATACGGAAGTTGGGCAAGCAGGCATAAAAAGTATTATGCTCCTCGGGTGGCTTAATCATCGATCTCAAAACAGCAAGTTTTGTATAAATTTTATAATTATATGCATGGTTACATGCACATTGCGTCATAAATATAAGCACCTAAAGGCTTAATGAATAAAGAAATTAAGATATGGGAGACATATTTAAAATACGTACAATTAAAATTTTTCTTGTATTTTACGTAGTTCTTGAGTAACAAGTGATTTTTCATTGTCTGAAACAAAGCGTAGAATATTATCTTCCGGAATAAAATAATTTCTGATTTCTCCATTACTAAAACATTTCATAAGTTCTTTAACACTCTGCTTGAACAAACTTTCTTTCTTTTCTTGGCAGAAGTCTTTATGTCTGTCATAAAATTCAAGCATAAACATTTTTAAATGATACGAACAAAATTTATCCGTTTGATGGGGATTTTGAACCTTGATAATTTCTTTGATTTTTTTCAGGAGTTTTAAAATGTCCTTTCGGCACCCTTTGTCCTTTTGGTTAGCATGAAGAATAAGTTTTTTCTCCGCGTGAGAAAATGAGATCCTCCACAGAATGTCTGCATCCGGGTGATCTACAGAAAAATATATAATCTGCTAAATAATTATTTTGCTAAGATGTCTAACTTTAATGGAATATATGAAGATAACGAACAGTATTCGAGCTCAAAAGTCCATCAAACAATATAAAATAGGAGCAAAGCAAACACGGACCTCCGAAACACCAGCAGAAATGGGATCAGGTGCCATGGAGGAGTGCATGCACCTTCCATGCAGGTGTCATGGATCTCTTTTAGTTTTATTCATCAAACTATAATATTTTTTCCTAATAACTTTGAATATTTGATGTATATTTTTAGGTCACTTGAGTAAACTCAGGTGACCTATTGCTATCCGTTTTCGTCCGTCGTCGTCCGTCGTGCGTTAACATTTGAACATTTTCAGCTTCTCCTCTGCAACCACTGAACCAATTTCAACCAAATTTGACACAGAGCATCTACGGGTGAAGGGGAACAAAAATTGTGAATTTCATGATCCCTGCCCCCCTGGGGCCTGAGGGGTGGGGCCAAAACCACTAAAATTAATGCAATCTTTAAAAATCTTCTTCTCTACTCCTGGACATCAAGCAGTCAAACTGTTTGCATGATTGTAATCAGCAATGAGTCCTCTACCAAAATTGTGAAATTCATGGGCCTGGGGTCAGGGGTTCTAGTGCTAGGGCGGGGCTAAATAAGTAGGTAGGGAAAATGCATTATTTCTTTGAAAATCTTCTTCTCTGCTCCTGGGTATTAAATAAACCAACTAAGTACATAGTTATGATGAGCAAGAGTGCCTCTACCAAAATTTTGAATTTTATGGCCCCAGGATCAGGGGTTCTGGTGTTAGGACAAGGCTCTATTGATTATATAGTGAAAATACATGAATTCTTTGAAAATCTTCTTCTCTGCTCCTGGGTATTAAATAAGCTAACTAAGTACATAGTTATGATGAGCAAGAGTGCCTCTATCAAAATTGTGAAATTTATGGCCCCAGGGTCAGGGGTTCTGGTGTTAGGGCGGGGCTCTATTGATTATATATTGAAAATACATGAATTCCATGAAAATCTTCTTCTCTGCTCCTGGGTATTAAATAAGATAATTAAGTGCATAGTTATGTTGAGCAAGAGTGCCTCTATCAAAATTGTGAATTTTATGGCCCCAGGGTCAGGGGTTCCGGTGTTAGGGCAGGGCTCTATTGATTATATAGTGAAAATACATGAATTCTTTGAAAAATTTCTTCTCTTCTCCTAGGAATTAAATAAACTAACTAAGTGTATAGTTATGATGAGCAAGAATGCCTCTACCAAAATTGTGAATTTTATGGCCCCAGGGTCAGGGGTTCTGGTGTTAGGACAGGGCTCTATTGATTATACAGTGAAAATACATTAAATCCTTCTCTGTCTCTGGGTATGAAGCAGATGAACTACCTATATAGTGATGATGAGCAAGGGCCCTAATCTTGCAGAATTGTGAATTTCATGGCTTCAGGTTCAGGGGTACCATAGGGGTGGGGGGCTGTACTTATAAACTGAAAATGAATGAATTGTTTGAAATCTGGTCCTTGGTATTAATCAAATATTTTTGAAAAGCAAGGATGCCTTTTCAAAAACTGTGCAGTGTCTGGATCTAGGCCTAAGGGTAAGGGGTTCATGTGTGGTAAGGGCACTACTGATTATTGCTGAATAGTACTGATTAGTTGAAATGCATTTTTTGTTCCCCTACCCTGCCTATGGGTATTAAGTAACCAAGCTAAGCAACTGCTAAGTGCATTGTAATGATGATCAATGGTGCCTCTTTCAAAATTGTGAATGCCATAGCATCTGGCTTAAAACATGAATCAAATTCAATAACTGGAAAGTTGTTGCATAATGCTCAGGTGACTTATAAGGCCCATGGGCCTCTTGTTAATATTTATTGTAACTCATATAGCAAATGCAATTACCACTGCGCGACGTGGGGAACTACCAATCTTTAATCTAACAATAAACTAGAGGTACTGTGAGCAATGAGCTCACTAAATGATACCCCCCGCCTCCCATATGAATATAATGGCAGTGTCCATGTTTTGCTCTGGAAAATCAAAAATATACGTCAGATCAAAAAGTAAAATAGGAGGTGCACAATGGCAATATGTAATAAAGAATCTGTGAAAGTTTCATTAAATTTCCTTCAGTGGTATGAGAGGAGTTGCGGATAAGAGATTTACCCCAAAGCGTAACAGACGGACGGACAGACGGACGTACAGACGGACGGACGGAAATTCCGATTACTATATACCCTCCCACTTTTCAAGCGGGGATATAATTACGATTTTTTTTTAAATGCATGCACGTATTTCATTCAGAATGTTCCTCTTTACATATTTAACTATGATTTTTATAGGATTAAAGATATTAAAAAAAATATGTGTTCGTACGAATAGCTGTCGCTTATCTTACCTCCTGGGTAGGTCTTTGTGACCACATGAAAACATTTCATTGCTTTTTGCACATTATCAGTTCCTATCCATTCTGGACATATTTTCCTCCCAGTGGAAGGCCAGGAGTCTATTTTTATAGCAGGCACCAAGTCAATATCTACTGTTGGTATTCCTGAGCCCAGGTCAAATTGGAGTGTGAAAGCCGGACTCTCTGGTTTACGTGGCATTCCTAAAAAAAGCAGTTGTCCTAGGTCTATCACATCCTTTTAAAGTTTGCAGTCCCCCGCAAGTAGATGGTGGCATTTCAATTTGATTAAAAATTCTCGAAAAAAAAACCTTAGGCAAACAAACAAACAAACAGACAAACAAATTATAATAGCCAGTAGACACCTACTTTTTATTCTTATTCCTTGTCTAAAACCAGGACTTGTTATACAATCCTCAAAAATGCTGAACATTTTTTGTTTAAAGATTTCGGGAACGAGATATCCATCTTTATTTAAAGCCTGATCCAGGTCGTCAATGGTTGTTCGACCTTTCCTTAGCTTACAAAATCCAGGAGGACAATTTTTGAAAACTGCCTCAAACTTTCCGCTTGGACAGACCATAAAATCAAATTCGTCGTCGTACTCAATCTGTAAAATCAACGAAAATTGATATTAGATAATAAACATATTGAATGTATCACGATGTTACTCAGTGTCGCACGTATCCAACATATATGTATAAATATTTCCTTAGATTTTATCCTTTGTTTACTCAGGATGGGAGATTCCTTTTAAATGAAGATTTCACTCAAGAGTTTTTGCTTAACCTTTACAAATTGTTTTCAATTTTTTAATCGATGAGATCGAAATAAAATGAGCAAAAAGTTTTTCAGTATCTGTACATTAGTATCTGCATCTGTCTGTCTGTTTAACTTAAGCCTGTCTGTTTGAAATTCTTCAAAATATTCAATTATCTGCAGACAATATTTCTTTATGTTTTCATTATTTTGTGCCTTGATGGCAGATTTTTTCTCAAATTCAAACTTTTTAAGATTCATTTTCATCACGAAACAATTTTATGTCACTTATATTAGACAAGAGGCCCATGGGCCACATCGCTCACCTGAGCACTGCGGCTAGGAAAAAGTAGAAATTGGTTTATTATTGAAAAGTTTAAATCCAAAAGTACTCCAATGACCAATCATGGCTTTGCTATTCTTAAGAAGATGATTTTTAAAGAATTTTCCTATATATTTCTATGTAAAACTTTGGTCGGCCATTGTGGCCCCGCCCTACCCCCGGGGGTCATTATTTGAACAAACTTGAATCTTCACTACCTGAGGATGCTTCCATATAAATATGATCAATTATGACTTTGCTATTCTTAGAAAAAGATTTTTAAAGAATTTTCATATATATTTCTATGTAAATCTTTGGTCGGCCACTGTGGCCCCGCCCTACCCCCGCGGGTCATGATTTGAACAAACTTGAATCTACACTATCTGAGGCTACTTTCAGATTAATATGATCAATTATGGCTTTGCTATTCTTGAGAAGAAGATTTTTAAAGAATTTTCCTATATATTTCTATGTAAAACTTTGGTCGGTCATTGTGGCCACGCCCTATCCCCGGGGGTCATGATTTGAACAAAGTCGAATCTACATTACTTGAGGATGCTTCCATATAAATATGATCAATTATGACTGAGCTATTCTTAAGAAGAAGATTTTTAAAGAATTTTCATATATATTTCTATGTAAAACTTAGTCGGCCATTGTGGACCCGCTCTACCCCCGGGGGTCATGATTTGAACAAACTTGAATCTACACTACCTGAGGATGCTTTCATATTAATATGATCAATTATGGCTTTGCTATTCTTGAGAAGAAGATTTTTAAAGAATTTTCCTATATATTTCTATGTAAAACTTTGGCCGGCCATTGTGGCCACGCCCTACCCCCGGGGGTCATGATTTGAACAAATCTGAAACTACACTACCTGAGGATGTTTTCCCATAAGTTTCATCTTTCCTGGCTCAACGGTTCTTGAGAAGAAGATTTTTGAAACATGCCACCAAATTTTTAATAATTCCCAATTATCTCCCCTTGAATGAGGGCGTGGCCCTTCATTTGAACAAACTTGAATCCCCTTCACCCAAGGATGCTTTGTGGCAAGTTTGGTTGAAATTGGCCCAGCAGTTCTTGAGAAGAAGTCGAAAATGTGAAAAGTTTACAGACAGCGAACAGCTAACAGACGGACGCCGGACAAAATGTGATCAGAAAAGCTCACTTGAGCCTTCGGCTCAGGTGAGCTAAAAAATTAGGAATGGATTTTTTTTCGAATCAGTACTACTTACAATAGTTTTGGCATAGTGAGAACCGAATACAGTACCACTTTCTGTAGTTTTGTCATAACGAGAACCGAAATCAGTACCACTTTCCGTAGTTTTGTTATAGTGAGAATCGGGTGCGCAATACCACTTAAATATCGGAGTTTTGCCATAATGAGAACCGAATACAATACAATTTACAGTGGTTTTGTAATAGGGAGAACAGAATCTTTAGTTCAATTTACTGTAGTTTTGATTTAGTGAAAACCGAATACAGCTACAATTTACCGTAGTTTTGTCATAATGAGAACCGAATACAGTAACACTAACCGTAGTTTTGTCATAATGAGAACCGAATACATTACCATATACCGTAGTTTTGTCATAATGAGAACCGAATACAAAAGCACTAACCGTAGTTTTGGCATAGTGGGAACCGAATACAGTACTATTTAGTATTTACCGTAGTTTTGTCATAGTGAGAACTGAATACAGTAATCTCTACCGTAGTTTTGTCATAGTGGGGACGGAATACAGAAACATTAACCGTAGTTTTGTCATAGTGAGAACCGAATACAGTGACACCAACCGTAGTTTTGTCATATTGAGAACCAAATACGGTACCACTAACCGTAGTTTTGTCATAGTGAGAATTGAATACAGTAATATTAACCGTAGTTTTGTCATAGTGAGAACTGAATACAGAAACACTAACCCTAGTTTTGTCATAGTGAGAAACAATTACAGTACCACTTACCGTAGTTTGTCATAGTGAGAATTGAATACAGTAATATTAACCGTAGTTTGTCATAGTGAGAATTGAATACAGTAACACTAACCGTAGTTTTGTCATAGTGGGGACCGAATACAGTAACACTAACCTTACTTTTGTCATACTGAGAATTGAATACAGTAATATTAATCGTAGTTTTGTCATAGTGAGAATTGAATATAGTAACACTAACCCTAGTTTTGTCATAGTGAGAACTGAATACAGTAACACTAACCCTAGTTTTGTCATAGTGGGGACCAAATACAGTACCACTTACCGTAGTTTGTCATAGTGAGAATTGAATACAGTAACACTAACCGTAGTTTTGTCATAGTGGGGACCGAATACAGTAACACTAACCTTACTTTTGTCATAGTGAGAACTTACCGAATCCAGTACCATATCCGTAGTTTTGTCATAGTGAGAATTGAATACAGTACCACTATCCGTAGATTTTGTCATAGTGGGGACCGAATACAGTAATACTTACCATAGTTTGTCATAGAGGGAATCGAATACAGTACTACCAACCGTAGTTTTGTCATAGTGGGAAATGAATACAGTAACACTCACCCTAGTTTTGTCATAGTGAGAACTAACACTTACCCTAGTTTGTCAATACAATACAGTACTATTTACCGTAGTTTTGCCATAGTGAGAACCGAATACAGTAATACCTACCGTAGTTTGTCATAATGGGAACCGCATACAGTACTATTTACCGTAGTTTGGTCATAGTTAGAACCGAATACAGTTCCATTTAGCGCGTAGTTTTGTCATAGTGAGAACTGAATATAGTAACACTAACCCTAGTTTTGTCATAGTGAGAACTGAATACAGTAACATTCACCGTAGTTTTGTTATAGTTAGAACAGAATGCCATACCACTCACCGATGTTTTGTCATAGTAAGAACCAGAATTGAGCATCTTCAAGGGAATATTTGAAATCCCGTCCATTGCTTTATTTAAACTTTCAATGAATTCGTTGACCCCTTTTCTTGTCGACGCGTTATCTTTTCTTCGAATTTTAATTTCTCCTTCGAGCATTGCTATGTACTTTGTTACGTTTGTCACATGAAATGGTAGACTCGAATCTGTAAATTATACACTGAAGTTGGTTAGCTTAAACCTTTATGTGAAAAGGAAAGAAGACACTATATCATAATATTCAAAATATTTTTGTTTAAAAAATGGTTAATATTTTTAAATTTAAAAAAATTGATAAAACACTATTGGACTCACTTGACGGTGACGTAATTGATATGTGGTTTTCTAAAAGTCTTGATTTTGTACAGCCTCCATCTGCGTCGCCACAATGGGAACAACAGACATTATGCATACGTTTCACTTTTGGAAATTTTCTGTCATCTTCAACTGTAGAACGAGGGCTTGGTTTCCCATCACTTTTTTCTGTGGATTCATCTTTCCCTCCAGTCGACGATGTTCTTCGGCGAAGTTTATCATCATTTTCTTCTACCGACGATGTTCTTCGGCGATGTTTATTATAATTTTCTTCTATCGACGATGGTCTTCGGCGAAGGTTATCATCATTTTCTTCTATAGATGATCTTCGTTGGCGATATTTATCATCATTTTCCTCTATCGATGATGGTCTTGGTCGATGTTTATTATCATTGTCTTCTATCGTTGTTGTAATTCGGCGAGGTTCTTTATGGTCATGCCTATCTTCCTGCTTGTGCTTTCTTGACATATGTACGCTTAGTCCGCGTTCATTTTTAAATTCCCTCTGACAAATTCCGCACGTTGCAGGAGTTGCTTTCTCAGTCTAAAAGAGAACATTAAAATAAGTATAATTTTGCACACCATTTTTATGTAACTTCTAACTTATTTTGCCCTTAATGAAGAAATTAACCTCAATACCCAAGCAGGATCGAAGTACATGTAGATGTACTCTTTAAACGTTTTTGAACTCTCGAGCTCGTCAACACAGCGAATTTAATTTAATTTACATTGTTCTTATATTACAAAGTCAAATTTACCCCACATAAAAACATACAAGACATTTTAGTCAAATGCAAATGAAATAAATGATAAATAAATGTAAATATGTTATCTCTTAAAGTGATTACAGTATATGAAATAATCTTTTTAATATTTTTTTTTAATTTATTAGACAATACTTTTAACGTTTTAAAAAAGATAAGTTTAGGCTAAGTACGCGAAGCAGATCCGTACATTTTCAACCCTGAAATACTAGTGTTATTGCAGACTTAAAACTTAATAGGCTGATGCATTGCATCATGAAGTTTGTTAATTGTTTTGATGCTCTCAAAAACGCTCATTAAATGGTTAATAATGCAAAAGAATCTACTGACTTAATCATTATATGCACACCTACAGTGATTTCAGGGTTATATATATATATATTTAGAGATTCGTTGTTGGCTAAAAGATCATTAACGAATTGAAGTCAGGTAGGTATGATTGTGGATCTGACTCAACATGCACCTACAACACATATAGAAGCATATAAAAAAAAATCAAAGTTATAAATCTTTCTTAATGTTTGATTGAGCAGCTAATCCTGCTATCAGGGCCTCAAAGAGAAAGAAATGCATGTATCTTATTCTTACACGATGTTTTTCATCATTTTCTTCTAAAGTTGATGTTCTTCGGCGATGTTTCTCTTCATTTTCTTCTATCGTTGATGGTCCTCGGCGATGCTTGCTATCAAAAGTTGTTGGTCTTTGGCGATGTGTGTCATCAATTTCTTCATTGAAATTGGACTCGCGATTTTCGGTAATTCCAGAACAATAGCCTTGGACAGAGGTACCTTTGTCGGCTTTCCCTCCATGATCAGTGATTCCATCCTGCTGTGTTTTCTTGAAATATGTATATTTAGTCCACGTTGATTTGCACATACTTTCTGGCAAATTGAGCACGTTATGGGCATCGTTTGATCATTCTAAAACAAACAAACGAACAAATATAAACAAAAAACAAAAAGAAACAAAAAATTCGACTTGTATACAATTAACACAACCATATTTTGTTCGTAAGTGTTTATTTTTTGTGTACTTATTTCGTCTTTGAGAAGAAGATGGACAAACGACAAGCAACATAGGATATAAGAAAAACTCGTTTGAATCTTTGGTTGTATATAGTTTACTTCCAAAACTTGATATTACTAGAAAGGATTTTATCAGGAAATGATATAATTGCCATTACTGAAACTCACTTAAATCTGAGTATTGACAATAGTATTCTTTCACTAGATGGTTATTATCGACCAGATAGAAAAGACAGAAATGGATGTGGTCGAGGAGTTGCATTAAACATTTCAAAAACGATTTAAATTTTTTCTGATATTAAAATTTTATTGGCAGAGATCCAGTCAAAATATCTAAAGTTTTTGGATGGAGTCATCTACAGACCTCCCAACTCTGGTTCTGATTTTAGGGATAAATTTACAAGTACTGTAGAAAGAGCTCTAGATACAGAGATGAAATTGTTAGGTGATTTCAATGTAAACATGTTAGTCCCTGTATACAATACATTTAAAAACCTACTATTACAACTTAATTTAAGTAGCATTAAGGTACTTTAACTTTGGTAATAAAAAAGAAAACATCTTGCACTGTCTGTTGCGAAACAATGCTAGCAATCTTAATGCACATTTAAGAAAAATAATTTATTTTTTAGATTTTTTTTATCAGATATTCAATCATGTCAGAAGTGAGGATTTCATACTGAAGATATTGAACATTATCTTATCAACTGCCCATCACATAATGTTGAAAGAAACTTACTGGTAAAAAAATTAAATGATATTGATGTTCTTTTTGAACTCGACATTTTGCCAAAATGACATTGTCAATATGCTTATAAAACAAATTGCGAAATATATTCATATGTACATGAATTTATTAAATCTTCTTAGAAACTAAATTAGGAACACTGTTATGTTAAATACTCTATTAAATGCATAATTTTTAAAAATAAATATTTGTATTATTCTTAAGCTGGAACAGTATGTAAATAATATGTATACAGTATACAGTTAGGGGGTCGTCACCTTTTTTAAAAATATAATATCGATAAATAATACTTGATTGTGAATCTTTATTTTTCATTATACGATTAATCGTAATCTTGATTGATTATGATGTTATCATAGTGAAGTGTATGTCACGTGATCATAAAATGTGTTCATGGCTAAAATATTGGTGTAGATTTGAAGTCATATTGCAAAACTTGACGTACATGTATAACTCAATATTTACACCAGACAAAATTGTTAACGCTCCACTTTCAATTCTTATTTGTGTATTGATTATTTACCGGATTGGTACTAGTGCATGTAATATGCCATTATTCCCAAAACAGTTGGGCTGACAAATGTCTCGGTATCATGAAGAGACCCTTGAATGACATTTTTTCAGCTGTGCACTGCGTACCATTTTTGCCCAGATATGAAATTGTTGATCACTAAAGGTGGTCTGTGAGGTTGCCACAGGAGTAGTCCCCCAGTTATAAATCAAATAACGAACTGTCATTGACTCTCACATCGCCTAGTAACCATTTGGTGCATAATGTCCATACCAAATCCACTCAACTTCTGGTTGACCTAGTTTTGTGGAACAATTTTCAACTCATTGTATGTTGCTAACTTAATGCCGTGGCTATCTATTGTAAATTTTTGTGTTTGTTTATCTATTTGCACCAATTTTTCATGAGTGGAATTCGTAAATTTTTTTTATTGTAATCATTTTTAACAGATTCTCGAAATGAACCCCCTGCAGACGCCATATACTGTCTAGCTGCTTTAGCTAGCTCCCCTATCGTCAAACGCCGCATATGGTGTAATTTTTTTCAATAGTACGGATATAAAAAACACAAATACAAAAAAAAAAATTTTCTTCGAAAATTGAATAGAAACGATTTTATTTTTTTCTATGAATTGGTCACACTTCGGTAAACATTGTAGTTATTTATAAGGTTTGATATTAATGTGTCTTTAAGTTATTTCTTATTAAAGTATCATATTTATATACCAAATACATCATAAACAGATCTTTAAAAGTAAAATTAATATTAATTCTCTTGGTGGTGCGTTAGCAATTTTGTCTAGTGTATACTCTCATTAAACAAAGTGCTGTTGTTTAATTTTTAATACACATGTACATGATAAAATTATCCTGAAGATGTTATTTTTTCAAATTTACTTCTTTGAAAAAATAATCAAATGTTGAGACACGTTGTGCCAACAACTACTGCCACACGGGACCTCGGTTTACAGTATGTGTCAACCGAAAGACCAGTCCTCACGTCTCACAGTGGGATTCGAAATCAACTACGCACACCAACTGTACTGTACGCCTACTGCACGTGACAGAACTGTCATGTAGCGTAGTCAATTTTGAATTTACCAGGTGGCAGTTAATACAAAATATACGACATGACAACTTGTCATGTTGTAAAGTTTGTATTTAATGCCATCTGGTAAATTCAAAATTTACTACATGGCAGTAGTTTTAGGTTTATATTTCATTGTTGGCTAAAAGATAATTTATGCCAGGTAATCACATCTGTTGGATTGCGGACCTGACTCAACATTTTGAACGAAACATTGAAAATAAATTATGAAAGTTTCCTTATGTTTGAGCTAGTAGTTGCAACTGCCAAGGGCTACAAAATATATCAAAGGCTAAGGAGTGGTATGAGTAATAAAAGTAATTATATCATTCTGATATTCTTACAGTTTGAAAATTCTTTTCCTCTGCTCTACAGCTAGGCTTTGGCAGCCTATAAGTTTCGTCCATGGAGTCGTCTTTTCTGTGTTCTACTATCGTCGATGGTCCGTGGCGATGTTTGCTATCAAAAGTTGATGGTCTTTGGCGATGTGTGTCACCAATTTCTTCATTGAGATTAGACTCGTGATTATCGGTAATTCCAGAACAATAGCGATGGCCAGTGTGTCCATTTTCGACTTTCCCTCCATGATCAGTGATGACATCCTGCCTGTGTTTTCTTGAAATATGTATATTTAGTCCACGTTGATTTGCACATTTTTTCTGGCAAATCGAACACGTAATGGGCATTGTTTGATCAATCTAAAAAACAATCAAACAAATATATACATATTAAGAAACAAGAAATGAGATTTGAACATGTATAATTTACACAACCATATTTCCTTTATAGGTTTTGATTTAGTGTACTTATTTTGCCGGTGTAAAGACGAATAATGACCCCCATCGAATAATGACCGAGGGTCATTTTTCAACGACAAAAAATGACCCCCACCCGTAGAAAAAAAATCATTTTTTGTAGAAAAAGAGTCCCAGGGGTCATTATTTTATATGTTAGTCCTATAAAAAATTGACCCCCATTGAAAAATGACCCCCCTTTAAAGCGATACAAAATTTATAACAGATGAAAGGGAAAAATATGCTGTAAATTATAATTGTTCTTCGTTCGAGTAATTCGTGCATTTATTCGAATAGATTTGATCATAGACCTAAAGTGATTTAGGTCTATGATTTTATCTTTGTTCTTCTTAGCACGTAGGGGTAATAAAGTTCCTCATTTCTCTCTGGCGAAATATTGACAGATTAGTTTTGAGCTATTCACAATCATTCAATTAATCTTCATTTCTCTGATAAAGGAGCAAACCTAGAAAATCAAAGATGGCACATGTAAATGGATCCAACGCACGCTGGAGATGAAATTTATAAATATATATTTTTTTCTTTACTGACTCAATTGATACGTTTTTTTTGCAGAAAAACAAATATTTGTTGGGAAAAAGTAGAAATTTTTAGCAGACGAATTAATATCGGTGCGTACAAATAATTAATTTGTTCGAATTAATAAGGTTTCAATCGGACGAGTGAGTAAAAATAGAAATGGATGACAGGACGCCTCGATGCTGTATATTTTTTATATGTTCCATCCTATACATGTAGACTATCACTATATGATTAAAGATATTTTAAATCTTTGCAAATACATATTCTTTTTATACCCCCCCTCCCAAAAAAAGAACATTACGTTAAATCAAAACAAAACAAAAAAAATAATAATAAATGAAAAGCAAAAACATAAATAAAACTTTAACCTTTCAATAATACTGAAAAAGGCTCTAGATAAAATATTTAAATGAAGTTAAGCCTTCACACAAGTACTATCATATCATAATTTAATTCGCCATGATTAAAGCATACTTTAAATGTTGGTGGGGGTATACTTGAAAGTATTGTGGTAAAGTAACAGTTGAAAATTAGTAGAATAGTAGATTATTTTAAGCTTATTTTTAGTCCCTCCTTATAGAAAAATAAATGTAGGGTAGTTTTTTGTTGCTTTCGTTGATAATCGACTTCCTCCTAAATAAGTAAGGGGGTCGGGTGGGTATAACACCTAAAATACACATTCTAGTGCAAAAACTATACATTTAGACATAATCTTTTGATGTAGCACACAGTATTCATTACATTTCTTAATTCTTGTTTTACTCTACCCTTTTACTCAGTTCTGAGTATATTTTTCAGAGAATTTAATATGAAAATCAGAACAAACATTTTCGTTTTTGTAACCTTTTCTTTATACTGTATCATAATATGAAAAGTTAATTGAAGACCATTTCTTTTTGTGTCCACGTAATTGAAGATTCGGGGGTATATAGTTTTATCGTGTCCGTCTGTATGTCTGTCTGTCTATCTGGCGGTCTGTTTGTCCGAAAAACCTTTAACCTTGACCATAGCTTCTCATTTATTGGAGCTATGACTTTCATATTTAATATGTGTATTTCTTGTGACAAGACCTTACTTTGGTTACCACTAAATTTGACCTTTACATTGGAGTTTGTCACATTTTACACAAAAATGCCAAATTTTAATTTTGGCCATAACTTTTAAACGGTAGATACTAGTACTCTCATACTTCACATATATATCTTTT